AAAAGCTTTCATGTGGCCAGAAGATTTTTCATGTTCCGATAAAAGTTCAGACATATGCTTCCAGTCACAGTAACCATATTCAGAAGATAAAGAAATTCTTGTTGTGCCAAAAAGACGACAGCAAAAACAAAAAATTTTGTTTTTCGACACAGAATAAATTAGCCAAGAACGTAATATATCTTCTCCATTAGGCATTCGTCTACAATAATTTTGAACGCTGAATCTTCTCCCATCATTATTTTTAGGAAACTGAATATTAGAAATTTGTTCAGGTCCACGTTCAATTAGAATTTGCCGAATTTTGTCCGATATAATATCTGGCCATTCTCCGGGATCGTTTGATACCATAAGAGATTCATTTTCTTGAGTCATCTATAAAATAATTTCATTAAATAATATTATCATAAATTAGAAAAAACTATAATTTTTCTTACATCCGTTGCAGAAGACTCTTTACTATTGATTTCTTCGTTTTGATCTAAATCTTCTAGTTGAATTCGTTCTTGTACATCTGATTTAGGCTGGAAGCTCTCGTTTCCCTAATAAAAGAATTAAAACATTTTATGAACTAAATACAATATTTGATTTTCTCTACAAATTATTTTATTAAATCAAAATATTTATCAAGTTAAAATTTTAATTTTAAATCTTCTAAGAGACAATCTAAATTGTTTAGACCTTAAAAATTTTATTTCTTTGCACTTATTCAATGCCAAAAGAGAAACTTCATTGCTTTAAAACTTAAAAATCTTATTAGAAATTCATAAAATGTAAATATCCATTTTTGTATTAACAATAATAAAAAAGACTTTTTGACAAAAAGGCAGTTAATTGAATTTGCTTATATTACATAGTCTAAACCCATTAAACGAACTCTTGTAAAAGATTATTAATAGTGATTAAATTTATTTACCTCCTTGAAAACTCCATCGATTCAGGTATTCTCTTGATGTTATCAATCCAACTACATAATTTTTCTACATATCTACAAGCTTTTTAAATAACAAGTACACAAATATAAGAGGATTATTAATACTAGATATAAAAATTTAAACTCACCTGTCTGTAATATTTTGGAAAATATTAAGAAATGACCAGTTGATTTATATTAAAAAACATTTTTCTGTTACACATATATTTTTAAATATCTAAAAGCTTAAGACGGACACAGTTTCACTAATGATAAAGCGTTACAATTGAAAACTACGAATAGGTAGCAGAATTATTATAAATTACGTATAGACATTTCTAATTAACAATATGTAATTAAGTCTTTTTCAGGTCGAAGTACTATTAAATTTAATTTACCTCTGATAATTCAATCGATTCTTCATTTGTAATATTTACTGAATCACTATTCTGGCTAGAGCCAACTTGAATAAAACGTTTAAAAGCCGTAGCTTGCTTTTGCAATTCTGCAGTTTCTTGTAATTTTCTTTTTCTGTAGTAGGACCCAGAATGCTTTTTATTTTCTGACATTTTGTCTTATTATGAAGAAATTTTTTTTAAAATATCGATAAACAAAATATACAAATACACAAACGATTTTTGAAGCAGACAAAACTGTCAACAGTTTGGCTAGGTTAGAATCGAACTTGTTTCAGGGTTGCGTCGCGTTGATGAATTCAAAAATTAAAGTCAGGGTACGGACACAATTTTCATATGCATTTGACAAGTAAAGCTTTAAGTTTAAAGGTATGACCACACTAATATACATATGCATAATCACAAATTCACAATAATCAGTGATTAATAATCAAGTTACCAGAAATAACCAATTTAACCTAGTTTAATTAAAAAACATATTTTTCTTTATTTAAAAATTATCGAAAAAATGTAAAAAAAATTATGTATTTCGAAGATTTTGGCGCCCCTGAGAAAACGGCGCCCCGGGCAGTCGCCCGGGTTGCCCGGGCCTTTGACCGCCCCTGGACGGTTTTAACATCATTTTCTAAATCAACAGTTTAGTATGTACATTATTACTGCACATGGTCTGGCGCAAAGCCTTAAACTTCTCTCAACGAATGTAACCGAACGAATGAATCTCAAAATGTCGGACGCTATGACCAGCTGACAACGCTGACGTCAGTGGTGCCAACTTTCATGCTCTTTATAATAAATGATTAAAATGAACTTACTTGTGAAGTTCAATCATTATTATATGAATGAACTTGTTCGAAGATAAATTTACTTGTAGTACCGCAACTTGTTGTTAGGTGACGCCATTTTTAGAGATATTAGGAAAAATGATGCCTATCTATGTCTCGTGCTGACTCCTTGCCAAGATCCCCTCTCTTCTTGCTTCATTTAGTTTAGAGGGACCCAACTGAAAAAGGGAGGGACCCACTGATCGTGTACATGATGTTGCGCAAGACAATGTACAGGAACATTGACCCGAACCTACACAAGATTAGCAAGTGAACTTGTAAAAGAAATTGGAACAAAGAACATGAACAAGAACGTGTACAAGAACATGCACGTGTACATTCTTGAGTGGCTTTTGAGTTCGAGAACATCTAGGCGAACATGCACCTGTTCATTAAAAAACCGTTGTTTTTAGATTTAAAATTTAAGAACATTTTAAGAAATTTTTTAGTTATAATCAAAAGAAGTCTCTGACTGAAGTTGCAAAAAACTACTGCGCAGCCTTTAAAGTATTTGAATGATCATGCACATAAACATGAATCAGTCAAAGTTATACACACACGAACTTGTGCATGAACATGTGCATGTTCGCCTAGATGTTCTCGAACTCAAAAGCTACTCAAGAATGTACACGTGCATGTTCTTGTACACGTTCTTGTTCATGTTCTTTGTTCCAATTTCTTTTACAAGTTCACTTGCTAATCTTGTGTAGGTTCGGGTCAATGTTCTTGTACATGGTCTTGTGCAACATCGTGTACCCGATCTTGTACAAGATTTTTCAGCTGGGGAGTTTCAAATTTTTATTATGGGAAGGGTTTATAAGAAAAAGTTTTTTTTATATATAGGGAGGGATTTTATCTTCGAAGAAGTTCATTCATATAATAATGATTGAACTTCACAGGTAAGTAAAGTTCGTTTAATCATTTATTATATTTCATTTCCTTGTTCGAAGATAAATTTACTTGTAGATGTTCAGAGTAAATTTAATATAAAAATTTGAGTTTTATTTCGTATAAATATATAAGAATATTTTATGAATATTCATAACGAAGTTATTAAATGGTTCATTTTTTTAAACTAAGAACAAAATTTATAATTTTGGTAATTATGAGAACAAGAACATAACTTATAACTTTGGTAATTATAAGAACAAGAAAAGAACTTATAACTTTGGTAATTATGAGAACACTTAATTCTGATAATATCACAAAAAGAAAACTCTGCAGTCTTTTATTTAAGAATTGTCTCTGCAAAATTATTTTCGACACTTATCGGTCTGTTGTAAAATTTTGCAAAGGTAGTGGAATTTTTGGACCATCCTGCTGCTACCTTGATTTTTGAGATATCCAAACCTTTTGTTAGAGCCTTAGAGGTTGCAGCATGTCTTGTACTGTGAGCCTTGAACTCATCTGATATTCCGGATTCCTGTAGAACGATTTTCAGCCATCTGCTAATTGATTGTTTTTCGACTTTTCCATGTGGTTTTGTGAATGAAATTAAAAGTTTATTGGAATTACCTCTGATTTCTTTTGTTTTATTAAGGTAACATGTTAAAGCGTTAGCTATGCATAACATAGGTTTCTCATTAAAATGAGGGAAAAAAGCGTATGGATGTGGTGCTCCAGGACGAGATGACTTAGTGAGACTATTGATTTTTATTTCAACTCCGTGATTTTTAATTTTGATTCCTTCCAGGTTAATTAGAGATAATAACTGCACTCTGAAGGCAGTTCCTAGTGCTAATAGCATTGTTAATTTTAAGGTTAATTTTTGCAGGTCCAGAGATTCGGAGGGTCCCCATTCTTCTAATTTGAAAAATAAGAAGACACTTTTTATTATATTAATATTCATACATTCTAGATCAGTCTACTTCGTCCAATTAAAATGAAACTATCTATTAATTGAATCTCTAATACGACTTCAATATGAGAGCTCGGCGAGTTTTTCTTCCCGGTTCCTCAATTTCTTAAACCTTTAGTAAATCTTTGTGATTATTTTAAATTTAAATTAACATAAAATAACATAATTTTTATAGGGTTAGAGAATATCGCATGGAGAAACGACGAAGTATTGCTCACTCGAGGAAATGAAAGTTCAAATACTATCAGAGACAAATTTGCTAATTTTTTTATGAAGATTGGTGTTATATCTTGCCAATGGGAGAAGGCTTTGAATAATAATTTTTAAATGAATAAAATAATAATCAGGTTAAAACACAATTACTTGAAGAAAATGTTCTCCAACTATTGCCCTTCGAAACATTGTTCTGCGGTCATATTCTCCAATATTTCTAAAATTTGTCTTTGAACTTTTATTTTTCTCTGATTATTAAGTTATCTCATGGATTCACTCAAACTTAATAAATACATTTCCACAGAATCCATTTTCTGGTTAACGAAGTTTTTAGTTTTTTCCAAAACCGCCAATTCTACATCCTCCCTCGTCCTTTTGCGCTTAACTTGTGATAATCTCATAGCACTTTTCGGTGAATCTATAAATATTTGCGTATTTCTTCCAGAACCATTTTCTGCATTTCTCGCAGCACCATTTTCACCTATGCTAAGAATTCTCTTATCATCAGCTCGAATACAATGTGTTTTTTCATTATACTCTTGAAAACATGAGTGTCCTTGCTCTTCTCCTAAATTATGCAATTCAGTATAGGGAATAATCCATTCGCAATTCCAAAAAGTATAATCCCCTTGTTCACCTTGTTCCATATTTATTATTTTTCAATTACAATTTTGCATACAAACGAAACTTTTGTTATTGAAACAAAAATTAAACTTTAAAATAGGATTGAAAATAATATTTTTTAACAATGTTTTTCACGAAAATTCAGCCATAAACATGTGTCATTCTTCTAATTTATTTAATACAACGCTTACGTCCCAAGTTGAATCGTATCGAGGAGCGGGAGGGCGTAATTTAAAAACTCCTTTAAAAAATCTCTGGATGAGGAGTCTGTTTGATAAATCTTGAATATTTATCAGAGAAATGGATGACCTCATCGAGTTCAAAGTGCTGTAACCGGCTCCTTCGGCGAACCTCTTGGAGAGAAATTGGAGAACTGTATTCTTATCTGAGTTGAAAGGGTCGAATTCTTCCTCCTCGCAAAATAAACACCATTGTTTGAGCATCGAGTTATATTGCTTCACAGTGCTTGTCGTTATTGTGGCTGTCAATATATCAATTGCATCTTCTTTTAGTCCTTCCTGCTCCCATTGTTGCCTGAGACAATCCCTGACACCAGGGAAAGATTTGAAGCGAGTGGATGAATGAGTTTCCTGCAAGGTGAATTTAGTAAATTACTTGATGAATCAAAGGTAATTGTATCCGAAATAAAAAGTCTTTGAAATTCAGGAAACCATAGTTGGGAAGACCAATATGGAACTACGATAATTCCAGTGGATTTTTCGTCTCTGATTTTTTTAGGATTTTAGTGATTAGGGAAAAAGGAGGAAAGGCGTACCAAAATTCTCCCCTCCAGTTGATTGTCAATGCGTTTATTGCAATCGCTTCTGGATCCCTTTCCCATGAGCAAAATCGAGTACATTTAGTGTTTATATGCGTAGCAAACAAATCGACAGTCTCTGTTACTATTGACAAATTTACGAAAATTCCTTGAAAAATGTACCAAAATGATTTTTAAGTGGTCTAAATCGGTTTAGGATATAGTAATTATTGGCGGGAAACTCGGAAAATCTATGGAAAATTCGTAAAAATTGTATTTGGTGGCCCTGAAAAGGGCCGATTGCTATTTTTTCTATGTTTCTTCTTCGCTTTCTGGTGGCCCTGAAAAGGGCCGATTGCTATTTTTTTCTATGTTTCTTCTTCGCTTTCGAAATCGGGTGATCAATTCTTATTAAGTAAATAAGAATTCTTTTGAAATTTACTTCTCGCTTCGGGGTCAAAAACGACCTTTTCTAACATTATCTTTTCATTTTTTTCTTAAGGATGTTTTTTCAATTTCAAATTGAAATGTTTCGGTAGAACTTGAATACTGCCTACATATAATTTTATTGTCCATTGTTGGTATGAAGGAGTGGAAACTTCGTGTTCCTGATATCGCTTGAGCTTTGCTAAACCGTTTTTTTAAATTGTTATTTTTTTGTCGTGCTCTTTCTTCGTACAAAATAGCATTTTTATTTTTGGCAAAGCATTATTACCCCATTCATACAAATCTTTGGCAGTCAAAATTTGATTATTGCTTTCCCTCTGAAGACTTGCTCGACCAGCTTCTCGTTTGAATTTTCCTCCTATGCCATCACATGGGCTTTTTCCATGCGAGGTAGCGAAAAATTCCCAGCGTGCCTCAACTCCAAAATCACGTTTGTGATAAGCAAGATTAATAAAATTGCTTTTATTTTTATACTGCGCTGCTGCACCATCTGTGAAATAAATTATTTTTTGAACGGAATGGTCAGTTTTCAAGTCATTTATTAATTTTTCCATAAATAGATGGACAGCGCTAGTGTTGTGATCTAAATCCTCGGAAATAATAAAGTAGCTCTTACATTCAACTTTGTCATCCTTTTTAAAGTAAACTACTGCAGGATGAATCGTTATTTGTTTTTTACTCCAATACTCACTCTGGACAGAATTTTGAATTATTGTCTCATAATTCTGAGAGAAATCAAATAATACCAGAAAAACACCTTCTTCAAGAGATTCTTTAGTATCTTTCAGAAATTGGCTTTGCTTTTTAGCTATGAAATCATGTTTGAGCAAATTATTTAGATGAAATTCGAGTTTTTCTAAATATTTCTCAGTAGAGTCACAAAAAATATCCAATGTAGTGCGATCAGTTGAAGTCCAGCTATTGTAACTAATTTTTGTAATGCAGTTATTTTCCAAAAGTGTTTCCAATTTTTCAATCAAAAGTGCAACACCTGGACACGATTGACAAGAACCTAAGAAGCAAGAAGAAGTTTCTGTACCACAGACCATTGAAGACAACATGGTTTTATATGTTTTTAAGAAAAAAAGACGTTCGTCATCAGCAACAAGTTCAGTAATATTAGCTCCATCAATTAAGAGTTTCGTATTTTCATGAATTTTGCAGACACAAATAGAATGCGTACCACTAGCACCTGCAAATATACACTCTTTAGGACGTAATTTAACAAAAGTTAAAAAACAAATTTTTAAATTTGGAAATTCATTCTTAAAACTTGCATAAATTTCGTTTAAATTTCCCAATATTAATCGTTTTTGAATTAATTTTCGAGTACCATCAGCTTGCTTAACGGAGACGCAGTCTTTTTTCCGGGTAACTGTCGACTAATATCGCATTCATAATAAAATTCTTTAACTACTTGAACCGTCTGTTCCAGTAATTTTTTACCTTGTATTGGATTTGGTGTCGATCCAATGCCATTCTTAGCATGCAACTGTACAGCCTTTATGGCTAAACTATAAGGCACCTGAAATTCAGAAACAATTTTTGGAATGCTCCAACTCATCGGAACCATTGTTAAAAGTTCTGTCATACGGGATTTACTGGGCTTATTATCTAATTTTTTTTTAATTTCTAACATAAGGCCTGCTAGATCATTATTAGCATTATCTGATTGAGTATGTACAAAAACCTTTTTTAATTCTTTTTCAACAGCTTCCCGAATTTCAGTAACTTTCTTTTCTTGAGCGAATTTAGTGCGAAGATCTTTAGTTACTGTAATTTTTTCCAAGTTTAATACTTTCAAAATTGAATTCAATTTCTTGATGCTCTTATTTTTTTCAAAATCATTTTCTATATCTCTCATAAAATTTTGATCTTCATCATTTTCAAACAGTTCAAGTTCCATTTTTTCAGAAGCGTCATTATTAATTTCACATAAATTTGATATCGGTTGATCTAACACCATATTTTGGACATAACTGTCGGCATTTTTTTCGGTCCTTTCTGTTATGTCTTTGCTAACTGACCTTTCCCCTCCTCTATTCAAATTTAAACGACAACTGTCGCAAATAAATTTACCTTGCTCGACTGAAAATTGTTTGCTAGTCTATTTCGAAATTAATCGAAGATTTTTTGGATCAACATAACCGTGTGATTTCCTTTTACCAGGATTAACGCATTGCCTTCTAGGCATTTTATCGATTAATAATCGCTTATACTACTACCTACCTAATAAAAAAAATTAAATGAAATAAAACAAATAAAACTAAAAATATTATTTACATATATACAAAAAAATGTTAACCACAAAACAAATGGTGAGAATCGTTCCTGAAAAATAATACGCAACTTTATTCAAATGCAAGCAATAATGTAAGACACAAACAATTTAAGATAAGCATCAAGAGATATCCGTCAATATGTTAACACGAGAACAGCTGTAATGAGCTATAGTGAAACGTTCAGTGCGCGTGACACTATGGCACAGACGCGAAAATGCTGCAATGTTTCAGACAAATTGCGATATCTCGAAAACTATTCAAGTGTCCATACTTTTTTTTAAATGAAAGGTGAAATTATAAGGAATATTTTATTCATTTACAAAAAAAACTCAAAAATCGGTCCCGATCTCGTAAAAACGATTCAAAAATTTTTTTTTGACTTTTTCGGGGCAAAAAATTTTTTTTTTTTATGTGACAGTCAGAAAGAACATGGTTTCAAATATAATCTGTTCAAATTTTATTGAATTTCATCAAAAAGTTTCGGAAATATTAAGATTTAAAAAAATAGTGACAAAAAAATTCAATATGGCGTAACTTTAACAATTTCGAAAATTTTAAAAAAATATTTGGTAGACTAATTTCTATTATCAAATACTACAATTTCACCAAATTACAGGTGTATTAATTTAATTACAGATAATCTTATAATAAATGCATAACAAACAAATAATTATATAAATGTCACTTTATTTTAATCATAAACACACATATACACATGGTACAATTATTTATTAAAAATTGTGATTTTTATTATTTTTATTAGGTGCGTAACTAAGTTCTCGCTGTTTTTTAAGAAATTGCAACTTTATTTTTAAAAAATGGTTACAATGAAATTAATCAAAGTATTGCCCATTGGCAGCTACAACTTTCTCCCATCTTTCTGGTAGAGTTTGAATACTGCGTCGGAAAAACTCATCCTCCTTCGATGCTATCCACGAATCAAGCCAATTTTCGATGTCTTCGTATGAGCGGAACTGTTGAGCAGTCAGACCATGTGCCATGGAACGAAACAAGTGATAGTCGGATGGTGCTATATCTGGGGAATATGGCGGGTGGGGTAGGATTTCCCATTTGAGCGTTTCCAAGTAAGTCTTGACGACTTTGGCAACGTGAGGTCTAGCGTTGTCATGCTGGAGAATCACTTTATCATGCCTCACGTTGTATTGCGGCCGTTTTTCGCGCAGTGCTTGGCTCAAACGCATAAATTGAAGTCGATACCGTTTCCCATCAATAGTTTCGCTTGGTTTTAAAAGCTCATAATATATGACACCTATCTGGTCCCACCAAATACACAGCATAACCTTCGCAGCATGAATATTTGGACGTGGTGATGGCGTAGCAGTATGTTCGGGCAAACCCCACGACTTTCTTTTCTTTGGGTTGCTGTAATGAATCCATTTTTCATCACCTGTAACGATGCGGTGAAGAAAATCCATCCTTTTTTGCCGCTGGAGCAATTGTTCGCAGGCAAATAGACGACGTTCGACGTTTCTTGAATTCAAATCATAAGGAATCCAAGTCCCCTGTTTTTGAATCATTCCCAACGCATGCAATCGTTTAGAAATGGCTTGACGGGTAACTCCTAATGCTAAAGCAAGCTCTTCTTGTGTTTGGCACGAATCTTCGTTTAGTAATGCCTTCAATTCAACATCTTCGAAGGTTTTTGGCCTTCCAAAAATCATCATTTTTAAAGCGACGGCCAGCGCTAACCGCTAACGCTATCTATCAACAAACAGCGGGAACTTAGTTGCGCACCTAATATTATAAGAGAAAAAATACTTGTACGCACAATAAAAACACTTGTACATTTTTCAACAGCTAAATAAAAACCACAAATGACGCGAATGTACACAAATCACATGTAAGCACTGTTGTAAAAAAGGTTTAGTCTATATAGGGATGGGTAGTTGCACGTAACTTGAAATATTAATAATAAATGTAATAATAATAATAATACTAACAGAAATAATAACAGTATATTTATGAATTAGATGTAATTAAAAAGTTTAATCACTATTTTAAAAACAAACAAATTTAGTATTAATATTTCAAGTTACGTGCAACCACCCATCCCTATAGACCCAACCTTTTTTACAACAGTGCT